CGTGTGTGTGTGTGTGTGTGAGCGAGTGAGTGCGCACGAGCGTGGGTGTGTGAGTGTGTGTGAGTGAGTGTGAGCATGAGTGTGTGTGTGTGTGAGTGTGTGTGTGTGCATATGAGTGTGTGTGCATATGAGTGTGTGTGCATATGAGTGTGTGTGCATATGAGTGTGTGTGCATATGAGTGTGTGTGCATATGAGTGTGTGTGCATATGAGTGTGTGTGCATATGAGTGTGTGTGCATATGAGTGTGTGTGCATATAAGTGTGTGTGTGTGTGTGTGCATATGAGTGTGTGAGGGTGAGTGTGTGCATATGAGTGTGTGTGTGTTTGTGCATATGAGTGTGTGTGTGTGAGTGTGTGTGTGTGTGTGTGTGTGTGCATATGAGTGTGTGTGTCTGTGTGAGTGTGTATATGAGTGTGTGTGTGTGTCTGTGTGAGTGTGTTTATGAGTGAGTGTGTGTGTCTGTGAGTGTGTATATGAGTGTGTGTGTGTGTCTGTGTGAGTGTGTTTATGAGTGAGTGTGCACGTGTGTGTGTGTGTGTGTGTTGAACAGGTCTTCTGTTGTGTTCAGGACTAGAGTTATTCTCGTCTCCACTAGCAACTCTGCTCACTTTGTTTGAATCGTGACACTCAGTCCTCAGAAACAAAGAGCTGCTCTGTGGGACGCTGAAGCTCTGAGTCTGAGCCAAAGAACACGGCAGGAACCTGAAAAACAGGAGCAGTGACCATCACGGCTCGTCTCAACCAACACACACTTACTAGAGAGCACACTCGATCCCTCCTGATGACACACAGGTCAGATCTGATCAGAGATCAAGCTCACGGCGCTGAGAGTTCAGTTCAGGCTTCAACATCATCAGCAATGCCAATATATTCACACACACAAATACATAATTAGGGTTACAGCTGGTATTAGTTATTATTACAGGGTTTTTACAGTTAACTAACTTAAAAAAACATTTTTGTTACTTAAATTAAATTAAACTAAAATAAAGCAAAATCTTGAAAGCCTCTCAGTGAGCATGTATTGTATATAAGCTGCTTGTAAGGCGCAGTCAGTCATGACGTCTTCATGTGTGTGTCACACTCCTTCATTCATGAGGATCAAGCAGCTTCTGTGTTTTACAGCAGCGTAACACTGATTAAACAGTAAAATCCCAAACTGAAGAGCATGAATTTCTGTCCTGATTTGAATGGTAATGAAGGAAATAACAGAAGGAGACGTTTGTGAGCTAGATCAACCGCTCTGTTAATCATTTCAGCTCATTTGTTTTCATCGTCACACAAACGAGCGCTTCCTCTTTGATGTGACATCACGTGTGACCACGCTTGAATGGACCGGACCAGAAGAAGAGGTTTCCATAGCAACGGCCCACACACACACACACGTTTGTTTTCTTAGTGAGGACATTGGATAGACTTTCATTGATTTTCTATCAGGTTAATGATATTTTCTATCCCCTAACCCGACCCCTACCACTAAACTTACCCATCACAGAAACATGTGCAGAACACAAGATCTACATAAAAATCATCCTACTACTTGTCCACTTGATTCTATCCCCACTCACCTCCTTCAGGCCATTTCTTCTTCAGTCATACCTTTGCTTACTCACATTATCAACACCTCTCTTCACACTGGTAAAGCAGGCTCGGGTAAGCCCACTGCTTAAAAAAACCCTCTCTAAATCCAGCACTTTTAGAAAACTACAGACGTATCCCTTCTTCCATTCATTGCAACGACACTTGAGCGAGTTGTGTTCAACCAACTCTATGTTTCTTGCACAGAACAACCTCCTGGACAGCAACCAGTCTGGCTTCAGAAGCGGCCACTCAACTGAGACTGCCCTGCTCTCGGTTACTGAAGCCCTGAGACTGGCAAGAGCAGCTTCCAAACCCTCAGTACTCATCTTGCTGGATCGGTCTGCTGCTTTTGACACAGTTAACCACCAGATCCTCCTGTCCACCCTCATGAAGATGGGCATCTCAGGAACCACACTCCATTTGACACAG